CAAAGCTAAAAAGATGCTCGACAGCTATCCTTGCACACAGAGGGCATTAAAAATTAATATCTTAAATGCAAAGTAATCAAACATTTTTCTTTTTATAAATGAGAGCAGAGACTCCCCATTATTTTGACGATGGTACTGACATTTCAGGAATACTCTGTGACTGATTCTTGTACCAGATTAACCAGCTTCTGGTTAAAACTCAAACAAAGGCAGGCAACGCACGTGTCACAAAAACATCTGACACCTGATATTTATATCTCTTTGTGTAATACACAGCGTAGTATGAAACACTTATTTCTCATAGTGTCTAGCAAATCCCAATAGTTGCTGAAGCTTGCACTTCTTCTGCAAAAACAAGCACTTCTGACTTGGTTAAACATTAAGTGGAATGATGCTTTTTGGTAATATGCTGAGCTATGTCTGGGAAAAGGTCATCGGTAACTGTTGATGACTATTTCAAATAGCTGTCAAGTGACTCTGAAGGGTTAGTGGCTAACCATACGTCATAAACACTGGGAGCTAATTTGGGGCGGTTAGCAGAAAACAATACCTTTGTTGTCTATCCAGCATGGAAATAGAAAATGTCACAGACCATAATTGCATTTTGGAACTGGACTAATTATCTACAAACAGAAGGCAGTGCCCGTGCTGCTGCAATGAAACATTTGTCATGCTCAACAACTCGGTGACAACTGTTGAGCACTTACACTCTCAAAAGATTGGAGTACTGGTTGTGGCCGATGAGAAAGCCAGTAAGTAAAAAAAGAAGTGCAGGCTGCTGTCTATGTGAGGACGGCACGCACACCCAGAACAGTGCTTAAGTGGTCACTCTCCTACAAACTCTTATGCTACATTCACACTAGTGAAAATAATAGCTGGAGACCACGGTGTGACCGAAATCCCTGCGACTGTGTGCAATGACCTTGCAGTCTTGTCCCTTCAAAGACAAGGACCAGGTGTATGACCACTCAAAATCAGCTGCTGTCCTTCAAGCGAGTTCAAGTGATGATATGACAATAAACTGTGTCCCTTAAACAGTCTGCAATGACCTTCCAATCTGTCCACATTCATAAATTAGATGGAAATAATTTCCAAACATTCGCTAATTGAGAGTTAGTGCAGTCAGTCTGAGTCAGACCACCATTGTTTGGGGACAGGCTGCCTCTCACCTGTGTGACCTGTGTGAGCTGGTCACTCATGGGTTGAAGGTTTTCCACTCAAACTCAAACATTTTTTGAATATTGTTGCCAAATGCGAAAAAATTTCAGTGCCATCGCTGGGCAACCTTTCCAACTTACAAGCAGGTTGTCATCTTGTTTTCACACTAGTGTGACTGAGCTATTAAAAGTGTGACATGAAGGTAGTCAAGAAACTCACAGGTGGTGTGTTCCCATCACAAGATGAACTGTAGTTGGAGTATTTTTTCGACTGTGAGTATGTGCATTCTGGCAAAATGAACACACGAATTTACCAAATGCTAAAACTGCAATAATAAATTCCTATCATAAAGAAAATAATATAAATCTGAAAGAATTAATAACACAGATGTAAATAAGGGAAAGAAACTGAACACTCTGTTTAAGTGATGAGTGGTTATTTATGATTCTTAAATGCCAAAGATGGCTGCTGCATGACACATAGTCATCTTCTAAATTACAGCTGAACTGGGAAACATAATCCAGCCAATCGTGTCGCTAATCACACACAAGTGTGGAATAAATCACTGCTGCGAAAATAGCAAAAAAACAAAGCATCCTCTAGGATTTTTTTCCACCAGCATATGTTCTAATCCAAAGTTCACTAAGCTATGCAGTGACACAGCTAACAGATTTTACACAATTGCTTCTTAATTAAGACTTAAATAAAAGGTGTAGGCATACACGAGATAAGTAAAATAAAAAAAGTAAAAAACTAAACGTGCCGTAAAAAATGCAGGATGTTACTAGTCTGAGGAGATCAGTAGAGTGCCTATTTACATGATTCACTTAGTGCACTTCTGTGTTTATGCTGTGTATACTGGTGTTTACATGTGAGACAGAAAGAGACCTTGTTTCAGTGATAAGAGGGCTTACCAGGGAGGCCGATGGCTGTAGAATAATAACTGATGTTGAACCGAGAGCTGATGCAATGAGGGCAGTCTGTGAAATGCATGGCTGCCCAAACGAGGTAAAATCAACAGTGCTTCCCCTTGCCTTCTTTCACACTCTACCTCCTTTCAAGTATTTTAAAGAAGACAAACAGAGTGACTGCTCCAAAGATAAACTCTACTTTCATCTTGGAGCAGCAGCAGCCAGAGCTGCGTCAGAACACGGATCTGCAGAAGAGGATCGACAGCATGATGGTGATTTTGCTGCGGCTAATGGAGCACGAACATTCTCAGCTGGAGCTTCTTGATTAAACCGGAGATCCTGTCATCCCTTCTTAGCCTTTTTTCAGATGGTTCGTTCCCAGCGTATCTGACCATGTCCACCGAGCTCACAGTGGCAGCACTGATTACTTGAATCTTGTGGATTCATAACAGCCAACACAACTCTATGCTGTGTTTGCAGTTTAAAGGTCAAGGCTGTTTTTGGCACGCTGGGATGCTTGCCTCGCGAGCTGTTTCTGGTAGCCTGGTTCAGTGTCTGTAATCTAAAAAGTTTGTTGTCTGGAAACTTCAGCAAGTAACATCCAAAAGGTCCCTAGGCAAGGTAAATATATGGGTTTACATTACATTTACTATAGCCCCAGCTCACTTTTTATGGGGCTCTGGCTCTTTGTTGTGGTGTATCTGTAAGTCACATTTTCCTGTACAGTTTGTATGTGAATGTGAGATTTTGTGTAGATGAATGTGTGTGTCTGTTTACTTTAATCATTAAAAACAAAAATCTGAACATGTGAACATGGATTTATTTTTTTAAGGGCTGCTCTGCTTTATATAACATATCACTGTATGTATTTCTCCAAATCTCCCAAAGTCCACGACTCCAGAACGATGCACAGAATAATGCAAATGTTCCCTGAGTTTCAGAGCCCCTCTGGAGCCTCTAAAAGCTCTTTAAGCCCCTCTTTTAAAAAAAAAACATCTGAAAAGTATTCACTTCACTTGTTCCACATTTTTTCATGTTAAAGCAAAACGGATTTAATTTGTTTTTTCACCTCAAAATTTTGCACACAATACTCCATAGTGACAAAGTGAAAAAATGTTTGCTTGATGTGTTAATAATAAAACTAAAAACCAAAGATTTTAAATAGAAAACAGCATGTATAGACAGGTGTGTGCATTCCCAAATCTTCAGTCAAGTTGTCGAAACATCTGATCAGCAGAAACAAGGATGCACCTGAACTCAATTTTAAGTGTCATGGCAAAGAAAATGTTAATACTTATATTTTTGTTTTTTTTATTTTTAATAAATGTGCATGAATCTGAATTTTATTAGACCTTATTAGATTAAAGATAACTGAATTTATGTTTTTATACTTAGCAAACTGGACTTCTCTGAAAACTCAAATTAATTTAATTTATATGGCACCAAATTACAATAACAGTCACCTCAAGGTGCTACAATAAAAATGACCTACAATAAGAGGGGTAATCTGATTGTTGAGGAAACAATCAGATTACATTAATAAGCAAGCTCTTGGCGACAGTGGGAAGGAAAAACTCCATTTTAACAGGAAGAAACTTCCAGCAGAATCAGGCTGAAGGCGGGGCGTCCATCTGCAGCGATGACTGGGGGATTTTCTATT